CCCCAAAACCCCAAAACCCCAAAACCCCACACAGCTAAATTCCTTATAAATCATGAAATTAAGATTATTTTTTCCAAATTATTCAGTCTTTAGATTATTTAGATTGCTCATGAGATTCTAGTTTTAAATCAAAATTGATAGTTGATACATCTACTAGAGTTAGTTTGGTTGGACTCTAGAATTGTGGAATTTTAATTTCACTGGCTTGAATGAATTCGCTTAATTATTAGGGTTTCTCATGGCCAAGAGAGAATTTCCTATTCATTTTAGGGCCAAAATATTTCTCATATTCTTTAAGATGGTAATGAAGGGCAACTTATGCTTCTTTACTGAACATATATTCATCAGTTTGACACATTTTATTAGTAAATTATTTCTTCCATCCATACTTTTCTTTCAACATTTAATCTTTATCAAAGTAAACTTAAACTCCAAAGTTAGAAGTATGCTTTGGCTTTCTATATCTAACCTGTGTATTATCGATTTTATAGTTAGTTGAAAGTAAGTCATCTTTGATTGAATTTACAATCTTTGGAGAATAGGGCCTTATTTTTGAATTTGTTTTCCTATATGAAGTTTTATTATAATCACTACGAACTCCTAGTAAATCTGATTTTTCTACTTTAGTCTTTTCTTCAACTCTTTATTCTTTTTGCTTATCTTTTCGATTTTAAGACCTGCTTGATTTTAAATCCTACCGAATTGGTTTTTCTTTTTAAGGCAAATTAAGTTGATCTTATTTATCGTTTTTTTATTTTGAAGAATTCTGCTTTTAGAAATTTTTGCTACTACCTCTACTGAAATTATTTGTCGGTCTTTCGATTGAAAGTTATTTCTCCTGGATCTTCTTCAACATACTATTTTTTAAGGCTTGAGTTAAAGAATTAGCTGATTATTTAGGCTAATTTTCAAGTGCTGCTGTATCTTCAAGTTACTATATCAAAATTTCTGGATGCTATTTCTGATTACTTGAATCATCTCTTACTCCACCAAAATCATAGCTTGGAAGATCAGCCAGCTTCTTTCTTTATCTTTGACTTCCTCTTTAGATATTCTCAATTTCAGAGTTTATATGATGCTCAAATCTTTAGCTGAGTTCTTAGAACAAGGAGATCGATTCTCTTTCATTTATTTCCTCATTTTCAAACTCTGGCACATCAATGCTATTTAATGATAGCTAAGAAACTTCTTGCTCCCCTGAAGACATCTGAAATATTATCATTTAGGCTTTTCTCAGTTTTAATGTTAATCTCTTAATATTATGAACTGTTCTTAAGGTAATCTCTCTATCCTTGATTGCTTTTTTCTTATAAAAATCTAGATTTTTCTCCAAATCTTTATTGTTATCTGTAATCTTGAATATTTTTTACTCTAATTTCTTTAAGGACTCATTAAGTGTCTTAATTTCATTCGCATAAATGCCTACTTTTATCCTGTTCTCTTAGCCTTAGTCCTTTAATTCTCTTATTTCACGATTTAACTAATTGTTCTTAGCTGTAAGCTCCTTGATTAACGCCTCTAGAGTTTTTATCTTAGTTTCTAAGGCCTCTTCATTGTTTTTTAGTTTATCTATCTTTCTTCCCATATCAAAGATACTACTCTTATATTCATCATCTGCTGACTAAAATAAAATTTATTACCATTTAATTTACAGCTTAAGTTGAGCAATCTACCATTAGACCCTTCTTGAGAAATCTTTTCAATACAAGTGCTGCAGTTTAAATCTAGATAATAGCTAATTTATCCCTAAGTTCACCGGCCATCAATGCAAAGTTTCCCTTATTAAGCTTAGCTGTGAATTACCTTGAGTAGTTATCATTATCATCAAAACGTATTAGTACTTTATAAACTTCTGAAAGTTCAAGATTTACATCAGAAAATTTAGGTTCCAAATCTTATTGCATTATTAATTCTAACTCATCCTCATTAAGTTGTTCTCTTCCATATTTTTTAACTTTCATTTCAGCATATTCTCTTTATATTAGTTTTTTTATTTTATACTCTTCATCTTTAAGATTAGACATTTTGTCAAATTAGTCCAATTCATTCTGAAAATCTTTGTCACTAAAAGCATTTTTCCTGAGTTATTAGAGCTTTGTCTCCTCATCCTTCATTTTTTAAACAATTTAACTTAACTCTTTATTCTCATTCATATGATTATTGAGTTGTTCATGTATTTTTCTGACTTCGATATTGTTAAAATTGAATATTTTGGCAGTAATTTCTTCTAACTCATTGATCAAAGATTTCAAAAACTGGGATGTGATAGGCAGATAGTTTTAAAATGATTGATTCGTTATTATTTCGTAAACTGACTAGTTCAATAATTTGGCTTTGTCATTATACGATAAATGAAGCATTTAGATGTCATTAGTTTCATGTGACTTTAAAATCTATAAATCTAAAGCCATATTTTATTCTACATATTTAGAGTGAACTCATTTACTATCACTGTCTATTCCTTTTAATTTGGTCCTTAGTTGAAATAGTTCCTAATTTATAAGAGAAGAATTTGATACCTAATTACTTGCTTAATTCATTTACCTATCTGTATTATATTCATATTATATGTTTTGGTTTTATGGAACTAATTAGGTAGAAGAATTATTGTGAAGTTTAAATTCTTTGATTGAAGCGTCTTGCTTGAAAATATTCAAATTTCCACCAAATTTGATGATATCACTGTTGCTATAAAGATCCTTTGCATTATTTAAGTTTTTAGATGATACCAATTTAGTTAAGGATTCAAGATTATATGACAGTTTTTTATGTATAAGTTAAGAGTTGAGATATGCTATCTTTTATCTGCTCTTCTGATCTTTAATTCTATTTTCTGACATCCCCTTTTCAACTTTAAGATCATTTATAATAGCTGATACTTTTAAATTATCATAAGGTTGGGATGAAATGGTCTTGCTAAGTTTGATATTATTTAGCATTTAAAGATTTTTGCTGATATTCGGTGTATTTAGCAATGTTTTATTCGTTGAAAGTTCGATTTATTGCTTATCTTCAAACGTTTTATTCAAGGAAGGAAGTTTATTATTTAAGATATTTTTATTGCTTTAATTATTCTGATTTGTTGGATGAAAGAACTAATTTGAATTTCAAGATCTTTAAGTTCTGTTTCTTATTTGGTATTCTTGTAACCTATCATCTGCTTGATCTTCCATAATAAAAAGTTAATAAATATTTAATTAAAATTGACAAGTAAAATTGAATTAAATATACACTCTAAATATAAAAATATCTTCATTTACTCACATGCTTGACTAATCACATTAAACGCTATTGGGGTTTTGGGGTTTTGGGG